TTTTATTCCCCCAGCTGCCCATGTGAAAGAGCCCTTAGTCCTGCTCATCTATCCCTGTTCTAACAGTACAGAGGTATTCTAAAACTATAAAAGTCATTTCTATTGGTTAATCACTAGTTTATTAATTATCACAGACCAACTAGTTAGCTGGAGCTTGGTTGCCTGAGAAGACGTCTTTTGATAACAAAACACGTCGGTGGAGCCTTGTGTTGACATCATCGTGCTTGACCATGTGTAGGAAGTGTTTGGATGCTGGACCGGTATATTCTATTACATGCGCATGTACTATTTTACAAAGTGAGTGTAATGTGTGGCTTATAATAAAGCTTTTAAAGATGTTCTTACACTATGGGAGGTTCTCTCATTTTTATTGCATAACGGATATGGTGCTTATTGGTTTATATGCCTATGTGTGACAGTGGCCCTGGGTGCTATTGTGATTGATACTGAAGAGGATCTAGATGCCCTGAGTGATCTTATAAGCGTGTTGAGACTTCTCTTTTAAGTAAGAGGGTCATGGTGAGTCGGTAAGAGTCCATTTATATACCACTTTGGGTGCATAATTGGCAACGGTGGCACTTCAATTGCAGGAATTTAAGAAGTGTGCGTTCCATGACTCTGCACATTCTGTATGGAACTGTTTGTGGACGCTTCACTTTTGTGTTATTTGAATTTTTATTGTTTTTTTTTTGTTTATTTAATATGTTTGTTTCAAGAGCAATATAGTTTATTAAAATTAGTTAGCTGGATAGCCTACATTCTCAGAAAATGGGAGAGTAAAATCTCTGAATGGTCTCAACTCATGACCTGTCAGTCTTAAAGCTGAAACGTAATCTTATATTTTGCCTTCTCTAGTTCCTCCTTTTATGCCCTTATCAAAACGCTAATTTATCATTTATTCTACAAATAAAACCTTCCACTTTTTGTTACATGCCTTATTTTAGACCCAGTGATATACAGCAGCCTTTCTCAACCAGGGTGCCCAGGCACCCTGGGGTGCCTTGAAGTTTCTTCAGGGGTGCCTTGGCAAATTGTCTAAAAATTGCCCAAAACTTGTATACAAGCCAGCGGATGGAACAAACCTGCCTTTTAGTTACACAGAGGCACGGGTTTCCATTGTGCACCATTACAACTGTCAAGCCACCAGCATCCTGACAACCAATGACATCATCAGCTGATAAGGAGGATGTCAGCTGCCTGCACAGCATCCTAGTTTGTCCCTCCCCTGCCCCTCTTTATCAGTGCTGGGGTCACATTAGCTCAGTGATGGAGAAAAACTGAGGGAGAAAAGAAATACTGGAATACTAGTCAGGACCAGTGTGCAAAAGTGTATTTGCTTTGGAAGAATAAATCATCCCTAATGTTGGGTGTCATGTTTCACATGACTGTCATATGCCTTTAGGTGTTCTTTGTATTTTTCTCTGCTCCTCCCTTTCCTTTGGTTTAGTTTATGCTGTATAGATAGCCCACCCATTTTCCCAGTAAGGCATTTCAGCTTCAAGCCTCATGTCATGATTGCATTATGATACTTTGACCTATCCGATGTTCATTGTTGTAAGATTCTCTCAGTGTATGGAATAAACTGCACAAGATCTACAAGGTGTCGTCTGGATTGAGTCACTGCCTGTGTTATTCAACTAAGATTGGAGTTATCGCCATCTCATCACAGCTGTAAGTTACAGAGATCACACTTTCAATGCTTAGATTGGAGAGACAGAACATTGGGTGTCTTACTTGCATGGATGTTGCTGCATTATATAAAACTGTTTGAATAGTTTTTTCACATCTCAAGACTGTCCATAATTTTAAACGGTGCCTTGGGACTGTCCATAATTTTAAAGGGTGCTTTGACTGAGAAAAGGTTGAGAAACACTGATATACAGAAATCACTGGGTCTGGGTGCTTCAATGCAGGGATATCATGGCTGGTAAGAGGAGCCAGAATGGTGCTGTACATAATGTAGCTCCTTGAAAACAGAATACTGTGGAAACAGTTACGTATTGTACCAGACCAAAGTAAATGAACTCCAAAGTATAAAAGCGCTACATGATGCTCTATCTGACTTGCTGCAGTTTCTAATGCACTTTGTGAGAAGCTCACAGTGTGCAGTGAAATCAGAGTAAGACGTTTCAGTCCAGGAGAGGAGCCGGTACAACTGTGCAGAACTGAGGGGAAGGCTGGATTCGGCTTTAAGCTACACTGGCACCAGCATGCAGATGACACCTAAAAGGGAAAAGGATCTGTCTGTTTCAGAGTGATGGTGTTAAAATTTCACTAATTTCAGATGATTCTTGGAAAATAACAATCCCCAGCTACGTATGTGTTCAAGGTCACCCAATATCTGTATTTATCACAGATCTCGACAAATTGTAGATTGAAAAGAAAACAAGTTAAAGTAATACAAAAGATCGCACGCTCCCGCCTTGACTTCAAACGCTGAGACAAAAACTTTGATTATAATTGCAATTTGTTCCAGATGAAAATCCGTAAGTGGTACATCACCCGCAATAATCAGATAACAAGTTCTGGAAGCCTTCGCAGTGCCTTCGGCAAGGGGTAATGATAAATTATCTTCAGATATTGTTTTTAGACAGATGTGTGATGGAAACTACAACATCCTTCACAAGAACATTGAAAGAAAATTTCAAGCTTCAGTCATTACATAAATAAACAATATTAACCCTTTCCAACCGGTGGGAGTCAGCCTTTTAAGAGGTGTGACATTGGCTTCCCGGTCATGTGATCACTGTGATTGGCTGTCACAGTGATCACGTAATCTTTAGACCACCTCTACTGGTTCCCAGTCATAATCAGTGACAGTGCTAGGGACGCTGAGTAAATGCACCACCAGCAAAAACAAGGGACCTGGCTGTATGCATATACACTCACCGGCCACTTTATTAGGTGTAACTGTTCAATTGCTTGTTAACACAAATTGCTAATGAGCCAATCACATGACAGCAACGCAATGCATTTAGGCATCTTGATGTGGTGAAGACGACTTGCTGAAGTTCAATCTGAGCATCAGAATGGGGAAGAAAGGGGATTTAAGTGACTTTGAACATGGCATGGTTGTTGGTGCCAGATGGGCTGGTCTTAGTATTTCAAAAATTGCTGATCTACTGGGATTTTCACACACAACCATCTCTAGGGTTTACAGAGAATGATCCAAAAAAAGAGAAAATATCCAGTGAGTGGCAGTTGTGTGGAGGAAAATGCCTTGTTGATTGTGACGGGACTCACTTTGGGTGGGGGGTCCATGGAACACAGCTCACTTTGGAGAGGTGGGGAGACCCCGTCTCAGCTCCCCATATCCCTCTTATGTGTAAGTCACCCTGTGCCTGTTAGGGGTACAGGGTGATCTGTCCTAATATTGGGGTGGGGGGTTGTTGTTTAATGCCATGTGGCTGCATCCCATTGTTCTATTGTGTGTCTTGCTTGGGAGCAAACTATTATGGGATGTATGTGTTTATGTGTATTGGCTTGGTGGGGGGGTGTCTACAGCAGCCCTCCCTCCTGATGGCCTGATGACCAACTGTCTGTTGGTGTGTCTCTTGTTACTAAATGTAGATTGCCCTGCTCTCTGTGTCATTATGCAGGGAGGGGGGTTGTTCCCTTGAATGTATATATCTTGTATCTGTGTTAAAATAAAGTAGTCTATTTCCTGGTTTACTTCAAGACTGGTGGCATTTAGTCTTGTATTGTCTGCTGTGGTGTCTGTGGTCGGTGTTCGGACAGGGGAGCGGTATCCTAATGGAAGTACCCAAGCGCAGACTGGGGCCGCTTCTGTTACATTGATGTTTTTTACTAGTATTAAAAAAAAAAATTCCAGTATATAGACGCTATACCTTTCACACAAACCAATTCATTTACACTTATTGGGATTTGTTTTAGCAAAGACATGGAGCACATTCAATTTTTTTACTAGATATGTTTTATAGCAAAAAGTAAAAAATATTGTTTTGGTTTTTTTCCAAAATTGTCGTCCTTTTTTTTTTTGTTTATAGCACAAAATATAAAAACCGCACTGGCAATCAAATGCCACCAAAAGAAAGCTACATTTGTCTGCAAGTGGTTAAAAAATTATATAAATTTAATTTGGGTGCAGCATCGCATGACCACGCACATTGTCAGTTAAAGTAAACACAGAGCCGTATCGCAAACAAATTAGCTGGTCAGGTTGGGGGTGGGTAAATCCTCAGGAGGGCAAGTGGTTAATTATTACTTTTACTTTGCTATGAGTAGAAGTTTTAATTGTATCTTCACCTGAGATAGTGTGTTAGCCTGGGTTCAAACGTGTGCGGTGCAGCATATCACATGTGATTCACGCAATTCTCAGTTAAAGTAACGCAGCACCATATCGCAAAAAATGGTCTGGTCAGGAAGGGGGGGGGTAAATCCTCTGGAGGGCAAGTGGTTAAATGTAAATCAACCCTAATGCCCCATGCACACGATCAGATAATTGGATGATAATAATCATTTTCGGAGCGATCGTACGATAATCTGATCATTAGTATACAGCTTTCATCCAACAACGTCCAAAACACAAAATTTTTGCTCAGAAATTAGCAGAGCAAACGACTATTGTTTAACCAGTACAGTAGTCATCCTCAAAAAATCGAGAAACCAAGACTATGCATGAGCAGAAACACAAATAACCTGGAAGAAAATGGGGGAACGTAAACAATGTCCATAACCCACGAAAATGCTACAACATATGACAATCAAATCGCTTGCAGGCTATCAAAATGTTTCCCACCAACCAATTGACTGATAATACTATAGTAGTTATATATATATAGTTATCTACACTTTTCATGAAAGTGGTCTGTTATTGTATTTATTACATAATATTAGTTAAACTTAATAAAAATAGTCTAATATACTTCCCCCCGGCATGGTCTTCCCCACGTTCCTTCAAGCACTGATCCTCGGCAAACCTGCTCCACGCCCAACACTTCTTGACCCATAAGGGAGTCAAATCCTTCCCTTCCCTCCAGGGGTGGACTGACAACTCATGGGGCCCCCCGGGCAATAGGGGATCATGGGGCTCCTGTGTCCTTGCCCAAACTCAAAAAAGCCTATGAAAAAGGTACCAGGGGCATCTCATGGGGCCCCCTACTGACCCTGGGCCCTCAGGCAGTGCCCGAGTTTCCAAATAGTCAGTCCGCCCCAGCTTCCCTCCATGAGTCACACTCTATACCAGCGTCAGAAATCTTTAGATATCTTCAGCTGAAGCATTTTTATGCTCCGCTTACCGTTCAATCCTATTCAGCCCATTCTATGACCTTTTTTGAACGCTCTTGCTACAGGGACCCACATAGGCGAGGCCTTATCTCTGCTCTCTATAATCTTGGCCATCGGTTGAGCCCTATGGATTGGGATCGCATCTGGTCGGCTACCAAGTCCTTCTCACAGAAGGTAGTAGCTGTAGAGACTAATTAAAACGTTTTGACCAGATGGTACTTGGTCCCAGCAAGGATTGCTAAATATACCCTCATCTATTCTTCTGTTTTTGGGGCTGTGCGATGATAGGAACATATTTTCATATTTGGTGGTCCTGCACAGTTGCTCAAGTTTTTTGGGCCAAAGTTTTTCATATGCTGTCCCTGCTTCTTGCGAAGCCAATATCACCAGACCCAACCATAGCCCTTTTAAATCTTCATCCCCCTTCCATATCCAAATCCCAATTCAAACTTCTCAAAAATCACTACAGCAACTAAACAGATTATGGCCAAATCATGGAAGTCTATCTTTGTATATTATAGCATTTAGGAATAAGGTTACACAAGCAATGATTCACCCCAAAGTGGAAGCCACTACTATGGACTCTGTTCTCAAGTTTCTGTCGATGTGGACCCCTTAGGTCAGGCATGTCCAAAGTCCGGCCCGCGGGCTATTTACGGTCAGTGTGTCAGTGTGTCTTATGGAGCGAATATGGAGCGGCCGGTCCGGTATTTCCACCGCGGCCGTGTCAGAATACCGGGCCGGCCGCTCAGCTCTGCAGCGGGACCTTACCTGTTCCTCTATCCAGCGGCGCGCTGTCTTCCCGGCTTGTGTAGTGTGGGCACTGGGCATGACAGCCGGGTGCCAAGTGCGCATGGGCAAGAAGCGGTGCTTTTTGTGAATGGTAAGGCGGTACCTGGGACACATGACAGATCCCAGAAGCCAATCACAAAGCGCAAGTGCTTCTCACTCATGCGCACTGGGCACCCGGCTGTCATGCCGAGCGCCATTACAGAAGCCGGGAAGACAGCGCGCGGCTAGATCGAGGAACAGGTAAGATCAAAGAACAACTGCGGAAGTAAGAGCGGGTACCTGTCAAATTCAGGTACCCGCCCCCCACCTCCCCAAAGGTCAGCAGTCATCTGTACTGTCCGCAGTCTCTGGTCATCCCTGTGCTGTCCGCAGTCTCTGGTCATCCCTGTGCTGTCCGCAGTCTCTGGTCATCCCTGTGCTGTCCGCAGTCTCTGGTCATCCCTGTGCTGTCCGCAGTCTCTGGTCATCTCTGTGCTGTCCGCAGTCTCTGGTCATCCCTGTGCTGTCCGCAGTCTCTGGTCATCTCCTGTACTGTGTCTGCAGTCCATTAGTTCAGAATTTTTTTTTTCCTGTTTTCTGCCTCTAAAACCTAGGTGCGTCTTATGGTCAGGTGCGTCTTATGGTCAGGTGCGTCTTATACGGCGAAAAATACGGTAACTTGGCATAAAATAATTTATTTGCATTTAATTGTAATGGTTCAAAGAATGTTTGGAAAAATGTTCGGCCCTCCACCATGTTCACTTCATCCAATCTGGCCCTCTTTGAAAAAAGTTTGGACACCCCTGCCTTAGGTGGAACATTTCCTCCCACCGAATTTTGATGATTCATTGCTCTTCCCTTAACATCTCCTAGTCTCACCCTATGGTGGTCTTATGTGCCAAACTATACATTGGTCCAGTCCCGAGATTGCCTTTTTTCTTCCGGAAGTCACGCATCCTCCATCCCCTCCTCTTTTCCCTCCATTGGTCTCCCCTAATCTTCCCCTCCTCTTTTCTACTCGCTACCGCTTTTTTCCCCTTCGCCTTGCATGGAATCTTCATGTACTTCTTGGGAGTAGTACTCCCTATTTAGAGCATAACCATGTTTTACCTCCCTTTGTATTACATTATTCCCTAATGTTTTACCATGGTTCCCTATTGTATGTTTTTGTACGACATTTCCCCTTTTGCCTTAGGGCAGCAGGTCCCCCCTTTTTTCCTGTACATGTATTTTGAATGTCCTACGCTTGTTTTTGGCTTTGGAAAATTCAATAAAATGTTTGAACAAGGAAAAATAGCCGAATATGCCACGACACATCTGAATAGCCAAAAGGCGTGGCAGACACAGGGGTCACACGTTCATGAGATCATTTTCCATACATTGCTACGCATACAGGAAATTTTAACTAAATCGTAAGAGAAATATCATACATCTAGTAGCAATGTTGAATTCGATAGAGAGCTGTATGCAAGAAAAAGCGAACGATAAGTCGTCTGATTATCTATTTGAGTGTACTAGGCATTCATCTTTGAGAGGTGGCCAACACTGGAGGGAAACTGCAGCATTTTCTCCAGGAGAGGTAAATATCCCAACCTTTTCTAAGCTGCTTATACATTAGTAGAATTTTTTTTTTAAATGTTTCCTTTAAGCATTTCCTGTCTTTAGGCCCTTTATAAGCAGCCTAAGGTTGAAGTGGTTGGCAGCTACAGTCCTGATCGTGGAATCGTTTTTATCAACAGCTAAGTCTCTTTCTAGAAAAAGTAATCCGAGTGGAAATACAGCTGCTGGATTATTTTTAATAGGGGCAGAAGGGGTTAAACCCCCCCCCCCCCACCACCACCACCCATCTTTACTAGGCTGTCCTGAGCAATCGGAGGCATTCAGCTCCCAGGGCACAGCAAGAGGAACTTATGTTGTTCCTCCCACTGTGTGACGTCAGAAACCGGAAGTAACAAGGAATCCATCACTTCCAGTTTTGGTCTCATGTGAACAAGCCATTATTACAGGCTTGTGAAAGCACCATACCAAAAAAAGTCTCGGTTTAACTACTTCAATACCGGGCACTTTTACCCCCTTCCTGCCCAGGCCAATTTTCAGGTGTCAGCGCTCTCACACTTTGAATGGCAATTGCGCGGTCATGCAACACTGTACCCAAACTAAAATGTTACCATTTTGTTCATATAACTAGAGCGTTCTTTTGGTGGTGTTTAATCACCACTGGGGTTTTCATTTTTTGATAAATTAACAAAAAAAGACTGAAAATTTTGAAAAAAAAAACATGTTTCTTTGTTTTTGTTATAAAAGTTTGCAATCAAATAATTGTTCTTCATAAATTTAGGCCGAGATGTATTCTGCTACATTTCTTTTGGTGAAAATAACCCAAATCAGTATTTATTATTTAGTCTGTAGGAAAGTTATAGAGTTCACAAACTATGGGATATATCTGAAAATGGATCAATCCTGAAGTACTGACGGCCAATCTAATTTCTTGAGGTCCAAAAATGTCAGAACAGTACAGATATCCCCCAAATGACCCCTTTTTGCAAAGTAGACAGTCGATGTATTTCATAAGAGGCATGGTCAGTTTTTTGAAGTTGTAATTTTTTAGTCATAATTTTTTGAAAAATGAAGAAATTAAAAAAATTATTTTAACAATTCTTTTTACATACTGTCACCAGTGCAGTCCAGCGTCATCATATAACTGGTGTGGCGGTGATCAGGGACACTGACTGGTGACAGTATGAAAAAAAAATGATCATTTTTTTTTTATTATTTTTTTATTTTTTTATTCTTTTTTTTAAAGCTTTTTTTTTTTTTCATATAACACTATGACCAAAGTAGTATAATGTTACCATAGTAATATTGTACTACTTTGGGGAAGTGATCAGTAATTTTTTTTTTTTTTACACCATTTGATTGCTTATAGCAAATAATTTCTTTGCTATAAGCAAGCATTTAACTGAATGAAATCAATTCATTCAGCTTTTTTTGTTGTGATTAGCTGTGATTGGCCACGGTTAATCACATGACACAGATGGGCTGTGACTGGCCCAGCCTGTGCATGTGATCAATGTGACCATTCACAGCTAGACACACTTGTATATAATGGATGGTATGAAAGGAAGCCATCCATTGTATACAACTGTCAACAGGGCCAGTACACTGATCTGTCATCGGCCGAGTCTGAAGTACACAGCCGGTGTCAGATCTCACCAGAACGCGGCCCTACAGGCACGCACAAAGCGGGATTCGGGAAGGATGTCATATGACGCCCTCCCGGAGGGATGAGAGGTTCGCCCAGCCGTCATTTGACTATAGCCAGGCAGGAAGTTGTTAATCTGCTGCTGTAAAGGCCAGAAGAGAGATATAGGTTATCATACACCCCAGATGTCTCCATAAAGAGAACCTGTCACAGCCCATGCTATCAAAAGGGATATTGTTCATCCCTTGTAATAGTAATAAAGTTGATAAAAAATTTAAAGGTACAGTGTAAAATAATTAATTTATTGATAATAAAATTAAAACATTTTTAAGCGCCCCTGTCCCACCATGCTCATGTACAAAGTAGGTCCTGCATGCATATGTAAACGGCGATCGCACCACACATGTGTAATTCTAAACTGGTAACCTGTAAAGGTTTTTAAAGCGTCGCCTATGCAAGATTTTTAGATACCGTAGTTTTGCACCGTTCCACGGGTGCGCACAATTTTAAGGTGTGACATGTTTGGTATCTATTTAACCAGCACAATATCATCTTTTGTTTTTGAACACACAATTATGTATTGTATTTTGTGCATTAAAATGCATTTAGTGTATTAAAAAAAAACTGCTGCACAAATATTGTGTAAAATAAAAATATGCAACACCCATCATTTTATTCTCCAGGGCCTCTGATTAAAACAATCGTATAATGTTTAGGGATTCTAAGTAGTTTTCTAGCAAAAAAAAATGCTGATTTTGTTACATGCGGAAGAAGAATGTCAGAAGTGGCCCAGACTGGAACTGGTTAAGCACCTCAATACAGGACACTTTCAACCCTTTCCTGCCCAGGGCAATTTTCAGCTTTCAGTGCTTTGAATGACAATTAGTATATAGTCATGCAGCACTACCCATATGACATTTTTCTA